GAGAACGGAAGAGATACCCACCGAAAACCATGCAATACACTTCTTCTTACTGATGGTATTCATTATACGCAGTATCGTTGGTTGTCAAATACTGCAGATATTCAGAGAGATGCTTAGTAGTCTTGAAATCGTCGACATGAATAAAGCTGCCTGGCGGAGCGATCTCCTCGTAATCAGCTCGTTTGAGGCCACCGAGAACCACCGGGACGTTCCCCTACATTAGGAGTAATCATCTTGATAGAAACTCCCAAGTGACGAATCAACAGCATACATGAAGACTATCATGATAACAACCTTCTGATCCGGATTAGATTGGCCATGAGTTATGACCAACTAAGCCCGTGCCTAATGCTTTACCCAGGATCAACTAGAAAAATATTGTATTAATTTATCTGAACTCTTCTCCTCGTGAATTCTCGAGTACAAATAAATTGCATAATCGTAATGATATGACGTCCTTCTCGGCGTACAGGACTTGAAACTTACGAAACCATCCATGACAACGATACTAAGAATATCTTGCCTATAGATTGCCGTAGAGTCAGCTACATTGGGATCATTACTTTACTCATCTACCCCAGTACACTCAGTATAGACTATTACATCACTAACTGAGTGATCACTGGCATTATTGCAACGTGGTATAGTATCGTTATTATGTTATGACCATATAAATTTATATGTATCGTGTATGTACTATAGTATCGTTATTTATATTCATTCTCTTTATCCTTGCATTCTTTTTATTCTCTAAATTCACAGCCGATGACTTCTAAGTCATACTCTGGCTAACTCTGTAAGGGTTCGTGATCGATTGCGATAATACATATTAAAATTTTTCTTTCTCTCAGAACTCCGAGGTTTCACATTCCTAATCGTCCAACTAGCGAAGTCACAACCTTTTTTCGTTTCCAAAATCGAACCCACTGTATAGCTCATTCCAGTGTATAACATGGGAATAAATTCACCGGCTCACCTTCCACAATGGTCGCCAGAACTTCTCCGTGATGTACTTATCACAGCGGGAATTCTCAAAGGAGAGATAAAATCGATATTTCGCCGCTATATCGCGCATACACTGCCTGAAGGCACCTCTCAGTCAAGTGGAATTCCACATCGCATCACACTACGCATATTTCTCCGGTTTTTTCTTTTTCTGAACATAACTACAACCCTTACGCCCCGAACACGCCCCAAACATATCCAAGCCGTCAATCTCCTTCGCGATGGTCTCCCTACCACTACTAGTTTGACAGTTCGACACAAACCAATATGCGACTAATGACCTAAACTGTCGTGGGAAAAGCCAAAGCATCGCATATTGAGTCGTCACCTCCCCTGAGACCAGTCGTGCGTGAGAGCTTCCATGTCCGGCGTGGCTTTATGAACAACATGAGCTGCCTGGACGGGAATGTCCGAGTCCCACCTAAGCCACCCAGTGTTAGTCACAACGCTTGTAAGTTTGAAGAAGCGTTGTGACTAACTAGGTTGTGAAAAACGCAGGATGTTAGAACCTCTAACATCTTGCGTTTTTTATAACTCCAATCAATTTTCGTTTGATGAACGATTCCACTGCGCCAGGGCTGACGATACCTGTATGTCATAGTGTAATCGAACTTCACATTAGCTGCCGTTCTACGCATGGCTTCAGGTGTATTATCTGGGCTCTCAGTGATATACCTATCCCTCAAGATAAGTAAACATTTCTCGCTCTTCAACCAGCTGCGTACATCACGTGTTTCCTCGCCATAGGCATGTCGCTGCCCCAGCCCTCAGCAGTCCTCAAATTGTACGTCGCCGCGTCGAACCCCGAAGTGCTGTGAGGCGATTTTTCTGGTTGACCAACAACGTGACATTTCGAGCGAAGGCAGGTGTAGGGGTGTCCGTTAGTGTATTGGGTCTTCTCCTGTGTTCCCCACATGTGAATCTATATGAAGTGTAGTAGCAGAAAAGAAATCCTTCGGAGCCGAAAGTGGAACATCATGTCGCAAACCCGAACAGAAGTCGCGATCCACAGTACATCCACACAGATAAGACTGAAAACGCCATCGAAGACTTTTCGGAATCGATTCACGACCGATCGTGGTGGCAGGCGGTCTGGATGTTCGGCGTAAATCAACAGTTTGCTCACTGATATCTCTGGCCTTTCTATCGGCGCTTCCGCTGCCACAATGTCGAAGATATTCCGTGCTAAAGCTCCTGACTTCAAAGGAAGAAAATATCGTAGAATTGATTCTTGACTGTCTTGATTAGTCTCAATACCATTGAGGAGTTTAGGCAAGGGAGCCTCCTGAACACTATTATGATGAGCACTACGTACTAAAGAAGCTACTATGAGCATTTCATAGACAGCTATCAGGGGACTGCATTAGATAAAACATGATTTAATCGCAAATGGAAAATGCACAGCTTGAGTAGCATGTTCATCACTCGCATCGTA